GGGCTGTAAAGTCGTAATCAAATTTAATGTGTAAATTTTAATTTAAAAAATTAAAAAGAAAAAAACAAATTGGGGGAAAAATGAGGGGTGCGGTGGGGGATTAATACTAAATAATCACATGCCTAAGCGAGGTTGGCTCTTGGCTGTAGTAGTAATTAATGCACACTTGAATTCTCTAATCTTAATTTTTAATTTCTTTTTTCACAGCTATCATAGGACTGTTACTTTATTTTTGTTATTATTATTTGATGTGGATTAAAATTATTCAACCTTTCCCATGTTGGAAGAGTCGTATCATATGGGGGTCTAGCTCGGGATACATTAGTGAAAGTAAACAGATCCAATGAGTGGATTTCATTACTGTGGTCACTTGATATTAATTGATAATAATTTTTTTTTGTTTAAATACTATTTTGATGCATGTATTTTCGATTTTAGTTTATTTTAATTTTTGACCTCCAAATCGATTAATTTAGTTTATTTTAGTTATTGTGCTTTTGAAAAGTCTTTTTTTTTTGTTTTTGACTTTTTAAAAAGTTATCATTTAATTTTGGTTAAAATACTAGTTGGTATCAGGATTTTCTCTTCATCTTTCAATTTTAGTTCATTTCAATATCTTTTAATATTAAAATATTTGTTTTAATCTGTATACTTTCACAATGTTGATTTTGATACTTTAATTTTCTTCTTAATCTCATTTTTTCTATCACAATTTAAACATAACACTAAAATAAATGTATTTAGTAAAATGTAAATATCACTTTATACTAAAAAGTTTCCCTTATGAATTGTCAGGAATGAAAAAAACTTTCGTTGTGTGTAAAATTTATGTTCAAAATTTTAAAAAATAGACTAAAATGATATTTTTTTAAAGTATAGGAACCAAAATGAATATTTTTAAAGTACAAGTGATCAAAATGAAACTAAAACAAACATTTTTAAAGTACATGGACTAGACTGCAAGTACAGTGACCAAGCGAGAGAGTGAGCGTAAATTCCATTTTTTTGGTGGTCGTGATCACGAAATAAAAAGATGAAGAGAAAATAAAACACAAAAGTGATCCTGTATGCTTTTAATCCTAATTAACAACAAGAAGATTAAAAAAAACAACAAGAAATTAGATGACATTCTCCCTCCTACATTTTTGTTTCTTTCATGCCCTAAGTGCTTTTCCTCATCAAGATAATAGATCATATCACATAAGAATTCAACGAGCATGGTTTGAATTTGCTCCCTTTTATCGTTTTTGGAATTTTTGTCATCACTATTACTCGTGACATCTTCGTAAAGCGCCTCGTAGAATCAACCACCATGCTCTCGCGTCGTTTATTATCTTCACCCACTTTATCTTCAACGAGTGCCCTTAATTTTTCTACTTCAACTTTGTAGTACACTATTTGTTGTTGAGAATGTTCCAAGAGGGCATTATCATTTCTTTCCCCAATCATTCTCGAGTTGCATCGAACTTGTTTCTTTTATTAATAATTTAGCATTTTAATTCACTCGTAATTTATTAAAATATGACCATAAGTTTCTAATAAGTCTATAAACTTTTAAAAGTATCTAATAAATGTTTGAATATTGAATTTTATATCCAATATTTCACTTTTGATCCTTGAATTTTTACTTTTGTGTTCATTATATTACTGTTCAATATATTTGAAATTTTAGATATAAAGTTGTAATTTAACATTTTTATTCAATGTTGTTTAATATTTAGACCTACGATCTATATATATATATTCATTCATTCTTCACTTTAAATTAGAGATATGAATACTAAAAAAAAAAAGAGATAGGAATGAAAATTCAAGTCTCTAACTTTTAAAAAGCAACCTTTGACTACTAAATTAATGTTCAAAGGTTAGAATATAAAATGTATGGTTAGATAGATTTTAAAAATTTTATATACACTAAAAGCTTAAAATTCATTCCATAAAAAAAAAAAGGAATTTTTTTTTTCAAATTCATGCTAACACGAACTTAGCTTGGTAATTGACATTTACGAATTCTAATCTCCACCACTACTTATTATACTAAAAAAACCTTAAATTTTAACATTATGATTTATTGAGTTATAAATAGAAGGATGAATGTTTTATCTTTTTTTAATCACTCTTTTTGAAAGTTTGAATCAATCACTTAACATATGTTTGTAACCTTATTACATTTTTTATGAATAAGTAACCTTGTTAAGTTAAAAGATTATTTAAGACTCAACTATTAAATAAAAAATAATTATAAACGATTTTTTAACCAATTTAAGTCTAACTCACGATAAAATATGATTAATCTTTCTTTCTGGGTTTCGAATTTGAAACTACACACTGTTATATTTCATAAAAATGTGTATTAGCTTTTCCTAACATTTGTAAATTTGTAAATTTGTTTTAAAAGTACTACACTTGTAAATTATCTGATATTAATATAAAATTATATTTTAAGATGGGTCGTACAAATTAAAGCCCAAAGGCATGTACGAGAAATTAGCAAAGGCGGCCCGTTATATCGGCCCAATTGATCACACGGGAGCACGGCCCAGCCCACTTTCTGGTCGCTCCAATTTTGGATTGGGTGGAAAAGATAAAGAAAAAAAGAAAAGGAACAAGAAAAAAGAGGCCACCCCGGTCCCCGTCCCCCACCGAGAATATTTGGATGAAATTGAAATAGCTTTCGAATCCCTCACAATTGATTCCTGAATTTGCTTCCTATTCCCCGTTGAACTCAAATTTCTCCATCTTTCTCAAATTTCTTCTCTCTCGCTCTTCCTTGGCTTCTCCTGAATCGCAACGGCAGCAAGATCACGGACGAGTTTCCAGGATTCTTCTTCTGATTCGGTAATATGTTAATTTTGTTGTTGTTGTTGTCGTCTCTTCTTTCATGATTTATTGATTTCCGGCCTGGATTTTTATTGTGCGCTCACGGGAGCCCGTCGATGATTCGTTTTTGCGGTATTATATGGTTTGTGATCTGCTGGCTTCATGAATTTTATGATTTTGACGAAGATCTTTTTCCGAGATGTGAAGCTTGTATCTTGTATGTTACCAGATGCATGCATATTTATTTTCCCATTGTACAATTTTCTGTGAGCATTACGAGCGAAATTCCTCGTCTATTGACATAGCTTGAGACCTTCATGATTCCAAAAATAGCTTGAGACCTTCAAGAAAAGAAAATTGGTAGCCGATGGTCATTTGTTTATTTATCTTTTACTAATAGAAAATGGCTTAGAAGTTTTCAGTTCCCCTTTCTAATTCTTCTATAGCAGCTTATTGTGCTTTCAACGATGGCAATTAAACGGTCGATACATACAATTTTTAATAGTATGCAGAAGTTGAACAATTTTAGTTAAGATGTTTGCTGTGGAAATTGATATTCTTTATACATGTTAAGGCTGAACACTGATCTTCCTTCATTCCTTGTCTTTCCTCTCCCTTAAATCTTGGGGTGGGCTGTTATTTTTCTCAGGAAGAATGTCTCGTGTTCGGAATTACAGTTCTGAAGGAGTAATGGTTAATGAAGATTATTGGGCCTCCATGAATAGATATAATTTCAGAAACCACCATCAAAAGACAAGGAGCAATCATTACGATCATGACTATTGCAATCATTTTGAATTCTCAGGGCAGTATAAAGAGCTGGTTGATAGGTCTAATTATGTGAGGTCCGATACTTTGAACTCCATTAGGCCTCATAACTCTCAGTCTTTTAAGAGGAGGAAGTTTTCTGCTTCACGTTGGGAGGATAGCGCGAGATACCATTGGCAATCAAGGACGTATGATAATGGACCTTCAATCTACGGCAATTTTATCTATCCTCCTCCAAGATCCAACAATGATGTTTCTACATCTGCCAGCTGTAAACGAGATCGCTCAATAATGGAAGATGATGAGCCTTATTTTATGTCCAGGGATGAGATTGAGAGATGTTCACCTTCAAGAAAAGATGGTATCGATACAATACGTGAAACCCATCTGCGGTACACATATTGTGCCTTCCTTCAGAATCTTGGTTTGCAGCTTGAGTTGTAAGTAATCCAAGTCTCTGATATTTATTTCTTAGTTCAATGAATGTATTTACTATTTATATGTTGATTTACAGATAAAACAATATTTGAGGTTTCCTACCTTTGTACATCTTGTGAGTTATTAACACTCTCACTGTTTCTTGCAGACCACAGACCACCATTGGCACTGCCATGATTCTATGCCATCGGTTTTTTGTTAGAAGATCACATGCTTGTCATGATAGATTTGTAAGTGCTTTTCCTTAAAAGGTTTCATTGCATCTGGAAGAGTAATGACCATATGAAATATTCTTCGAATAAATTTTACTTTTGGATTCTATGTTTGGTGGGCATTGAGATATTAGAAGCTTTTAAGTCTATGAATTGATTTACTGTTATTGAAATTCCTTTGGGGAGAGTAATACTTATGCTGCTTACTTTTGTTGTATGATGCTAATTTGCTTCTCTTTCCTCTTCTCTTCCCATTCCCCCACTTCTATTTCATCTGTTTTGCATTGTAGAATGTAAATGCACTATTCAGTGATTTTTTATTTTCTCGTCTCAATTTAATAGTAGTGATAGTATACACCAGTCCAGTCATCATATTGGTTTTATCAATTATTTTGATCCTTATTGCATGAGGTGATTACGTTGCATTAATTTGTTGCTCATTTTGTTTACTGATTTATATTGCAGTTGATTGCTACGGCTGCTCTTTTCCTTGCTGCAAAGTCTGAGGAGACACCACGACCTTTGAACAATGTTTTGCGAGCTTCATGTGAAATTCTGCACAAACAGGATTTTAATCTCTTATCTTATATGCTCCCTGTTGTGAGTATCCTCAGAAATCTTCATTGTCTATTATATTTGCTTACCATTTTTGTAACTTTTTCTTTGTGAAGATCTTTTACACAACGACGTATTATAGAATACAATCACATGATTTTGGAGGATAACATATCTACAGGACCTTCATCTTTTCACTTCACCAATATCCTATCTTCTTAGGTTTTCATTCACCTGATTGGGTTTCATATGACTAATGGTAAAATTATAATCAACAATCCCGATACATTAATAAGAGTGTAATAACCACTAAATTATTATTAACATAGAGAACCAATTCTTGTAAGTTTTAACTATCAAGTTGCTGATTCTCAATATTCCCTGATTCTTTTATATCATTCTTGGCTCCATCCCTAAAACAGATACCAGCTTAGTGGTATGAACCAGGCCTCATCCCCCCTAAAAAGGAATTTCGTGGGGGGGAGGGGGGTTGTCATATGTCATATATGTTTAAAGAACTTTTTATAATTTTAAGTACTGTATCTTTTTGCTTTATATGTCATTAGTACTATTAAAATGACATCTTAGTGAATCTTGAACAGGATTGGTTTGAGCAATATCGCGAAAGAGTAACTGAGGCTGAGCAATTGATACTGACTACTCTAAACTTTGAACTCAACGTACAACATCCATATGCTCCTCTTATGTCTGTTCTAAACAAGATAGGTCTTTCACAGTCGATCTTGGTGAATCTTGCACTGAACTTGATCAGTGAAGGGTAGGTTCATCACTTTCTTTACTTGACCCGTTTCATTTGATTTATTGATGTTAAGAGAATAACATGCAATAAATTTGTTCCTTCAAGATAGAGATCTTTCAATTTATTGCTTGTTCTGCAATTATTTTGTCCTTGCAACTGCTTCAGGAATCTCTCTGGCTTGCTAGTCTATTTAGTAGCATGTCCTTGCAATTACGAAAAGTAGGTCAAATGATGTAACTTTAAGAATTAGTTTTGAGATGTGCTGGTGCAAGAACTTCAATGATGACAGATTTCTTGAATTTTGGCGTTGATTATGGCATGAAAGAGGATACGCTGGTGATCTTCTTTCTCTCTATGGATCAAAATGGTGTGTTACTTGTGTCAGTTGTTTTCTTCTTAGAGCGAACTACCCTTGCAAATTTATCCTTCTATGAATTATTGATTCTTCTGGCATGCGTATAATTTGCAGGATCTATGCACGATTAGCATGCTCGCCTGTTTGATATACTTAGCTGGCGGATTGATATGCTGTTCATGGATACTTTTGTTTTACAAGTGAAGTTGTTCTCCATTATGTTTTGGACATTTTAACCATGAATATACCCCATCGACTTGGTACTTGGTGCTAATGATTGCCAATGAGCCTACTGCATCACTTTCTATATTTTCTCAAAACTAATGTCCATTTCTTCTCCCCCTCTCCCTTGAGCGTCCCCTCAAGGCCATTCATGTACTACCTTGAAAGATACAGCATCTTTCCTTTTGGAGTTGTTGACTTAGAAGGGCCTCTGCATGGGATTGAATCTTGCAATCCATTGTCTTTATAACCTAGAGGACCGCTACCGATGATTTTGATTTTGAGTTTATTTCTCAATGATGGATGCTCAACTGAGGCTAAAACTAATTTTTGCTAACCAACCTCTTTGGATGAGTTTCTATTTAGCACAGAATCAATCATAGTATGGAGTTAGATCTAAGATTAGCTTGTCTTGAGTTTTTTCTTTCAAGGTTCAGCATATGACTTAAATAACATGTCTTGTTGCCGGGGTTTATTTTATTATTTTTTTAATATGAAAAATGAAGTTTTCATTGAGAACATGAAATGATACAAAACGGCTCCGGGTTCTTGCTATTAACTTGATGTTCCATTAGCAAAATTGCATGTAGAATATAAAATATATGCATTCCTATATAGCTGCTAGCATGGGATTGTCTTTTACATGCCTCCATTTTCCACTTCCATTCCATCCTTGATTGACATAAAATGTTTAACTGAAACTTTATAACTTTATTTTCAAGATGATGCTTTTTCTCTGTCGTCTGTGTCTTTATCACAATAAAACCTGAAGTTTTGTTGTTTCACATAAGTGGTTCAATATTGAAAATCTGTGATGGCTGTCTACTCTAGTAGCTCAAATAACCTTGGATGGTTTGCTTTTGAAATTTATTGCTGACCTGTAACATTGTTGGGCTCTTTTCCTAATTGTAAGGCCATAGCAGTTCTATGCATTCTTGTCCTTGCTCTTTCACATGTTGCTAACAAATGATTGGTGTAATCTTGTCCCATTTGCTTTTGGTCATTCATTTTTATGTATGGGGTGAGAAGGTGTACACATCTCTTGGCGATTTTATAATGTTAAACTATGGTTTTTTGAATATCAAAATGGTCTTCCAACTGATCTGTCTTTTCTGTGTTTGCTCCTGTTATCTAATAATATTGTTCCCATGGTGAAGAATAGGTTCGACACTTCCAAGTCTCTTGGTCTTTGGTATTAATATGCTTAATATTTGCCTTTTTGGATTTTCTAAGCCATTAAAATTTTGAAGCTATTGGAATAATTTTTGTTGTGTTGGAATTGTTTCAATTTTCCCTCTTTTTTTTTGTTTACCTATGGAGAAGAAAAAACTACATTCTCTCTCTACTTGGCTTTTATTTTTCAAAATAAGTTGATTCTGTTATTCATGACTGCGAGACTTTTAATTTATGTAGTAGGAATCTTGCACTGATGAGTAGATGCATCGTTGTTTGGAATGAAGCTGTCGAATTGTTGTTATGATGTATATATTGACCAATCATTTTATATGTTGTGATTATAGGAAATCCTGAAGGTATAGCTTTTATTCAATGACATCAAGGTTTTGCATTCAATTTGTTGAATATAGAAATTGTAAATTTAATTCCACTCAGGTGATTTTTGTTCAAATTTATATCATCAATGGAGTCACAAACAACTTGTGATCCGCATACATGTAAAGCTGGTTTTGTCCTTAGAAACTCCACCTTCCTCGCCCGTCCACCCACCAAAAGAGAACAAAAGCCATGTCCTGCCCTAAAGAGATCAAACATAATTACCTTTTGAGGTACAAACTCTCCAATAGATGCAGCTGTCCATGTAAAGGTAGTAGTTTTGTCCATAGAAATCTCACCCTCCCCCACCTGCCCATGCGCCCAGCCAAAAGAGAAGAACAATAACCATTGTCTCGTGCTAAAGGCTTTGAGCAAATTACCTTTAATTAAGGTACAAGCTATACAATAAATGCAAACTTTCCATAAACCTGGCTTAAAACTACAGTCAAGTCTAACTCGTCTAATTACCAAAAGAATGTAATTACCAGGTTCACTATAAGATATGCAGTATATATATATGTAGCAAATTTATCTTTTCTTTCTCATGTATATTTTGTAGTACGATGGGAATTTTGGGTTGTATCTGTAAGTGGGGTTAACTTGCATGCTTTCAAGCATGATGGGATGAGAGTGCTTGATGACAATCCAGTCCAGATCAACAGTTACGTCGTTTAGAGCTGAAGATGGTGGGTTGCTTTGAGAAGTTTGATTGTTTGCAATATGCCACAACCTCCTGTCTTTTAGTTTGGGTTGCATTAGTCTCTGGAGTCAAAAGCCCCTGCTGCCAAATTTACCTGGGAGTTTGATGTATTCTGTATATGGGTATAACATATATCATATGATAATATGATACTATCAGCAATCTTCCAGAGATTCTTGGAAATATTCTACCTGAGTTGCTGCTTTTTAGTTGGTAAGAAGAAACGACTTGCTTTTACCAATGCTTGAAATTACTTTTTCCTGCTCTTAGTTTCTATTGTTATATACTTTGCATATTTGGAGCTGATGTATTTTTTTGTGTTGAAGTACTGTTAGACATTGCCATGCTATTTAGTAATGGACCCAGATGGTTTGTTCACCTGTTTAATGCGTTCTTCAACAAGTGAATGGCGGTGGTGGTAGTTGTATGCGATGCTGATATGTTGTTTTTTTAGGCTAAGGAGCTCACTTTGGCTTCAGTTTAAGCCTCATCAGATAGCTGCCGGAGCTGCATATCTGTCTGCCAAGCTATTGAATGTGGATCTTGCTCCTTATCAAAATATCTTGCAGGAGTTCCAAGCAACGCCAGCTATTCTCCAAGGTATCTCAAAGAACCTCTGAATATTTTCTCAAGTTCTATTATGTTAAGCAATTTAAGGAGTGATTGCGGTGAAAGTTAAGCTTGCATTAACCATTTCTTTGTTTTATTTTCCGCTTCTAAAATACAGTTTTGAAATCTTAGGCCCATTTATAGAACAAAACGCAGGAACTTGTTTGAGATATTGTTCTCAAAACAATTCTGCTTGTGTTACTCAAACCTGTTTTTGAAGTTATGATCAATTCTGATTTTAGTAGAAGAACAAATTTAATTATTAAATATATCATCCATGAAAATAAACTTCTGAAAAGCAGGAGATGATAACTTAAAATTTTTTTTCCTATTTTTGTTGAAAAAAAAACCAGAAAATTTTTTAGAACAATCTTTTGTACATGTCCTACTTAAGTATTGACTAAAGTTAATAGCTTAAAGAAGCAAGTTATAAACTAAAATAATTGCTAGTTGACAAACTAATACTCGAGTTTCTTAATAAAATTAGAAACAAGAAACAGGGCCCCATTAGTTAAAATTAAGGTAGATATCTCTGCCAGGTTTGTTGTAAGGTTATTTGGGGTATAGTTCTTATTTTACATAATACTTGGGGTTGATCTATGCAACATCATGATCCAAGTTAGTTTTGATGTGGTTTGTTTTGCATTCATGTTGAAAATGCAGATGTGGCCCAGCAATTGATGGAGCTCTTCTAAAGGGAAAAAGCTCTGGACAGTAGTATGAAGCCAAGCATGGGAGGACTTTTTAACATATTTGTGATTTTACGTGGTCTTAAATAATATAATAGTTGAATCCTGACAATTGTGCTTAGGCTACAGCAGAGGCTTACATGGTAACTGTGTTGGAACTTCAAGATTCAACATGAGTGAGTGGGTTCGCAATTCCTTTGCAATGCATTTGATACTGATGAGTGTTTTAGAAGTAGTACAGTAGGAAGGAAGACATGTATTGAATCGGCAAACGGATGGTTATATAGAAAAGCTTACACTTATGCTCTGTTTTGTCTCATCTTTGTAGGTTTTTTTTTTAATTTTAAATCGTGAGTGTCTGACTAGTTTACGCGCATCTCGATTAATTGGACAACCGTTTGACTCTACAACATTTGGTGTCAGGAATTAATTTAATTAATTTTAAGATAGATAACCATTATGGAATTTGATCTCATTCATTTTGCAATTCACCCTAGCCCTTTGGACCAATGAATTACTCAGTAATGATTATCTCCTTATCTATCATCATCTCCTTCGTAGGTAGGTTGTTATTCATTAATACAAAACATTGTTATTCGTTAATACAAAACAATCTTCTAAGGACATTGTCTCTCTGAAGTCTACTATTTTTCTCTCTTCCAAAGATGTCAAAGTAAAATTTGCACAATTTTGAAGAATATTTATTTTGCCCCTTAGAGGTGGCCTACCTATTATTTGTTGGATATCTTTGCATCTTTATAAAAATTCACACACACAGACATATATATATATATATATATATATATATATTATTTTTTTTAATGCAGACAATATTCAATATTCATAATTATCTTGGTTGTGAAGTTTCAAGTCTTATGTCAGAAAATCGAAAACCCCAAAGATTTTTCCATCTCAAGCAGAGGGAAAGAAGATAGATGAATAGAACAATCAATTAGGGTTTTTAGAAACTGATCATCAAATCAAGGTTTAAAGTTTAGGGTTTAGAAAATACAACAAAACCAAAAGGAGGGCTCATTTTTTGGATTTAGGACCCGCAAGTTAAACTTAAACCCTAAACTTTTAAAAAGCTTCGATAAAGAGAAGAAAGGGAAGAAGAGCTTGAAATTTTCGAGAATGATAGCTCTAGTTGGGATTTGTTGATAAAATATTAATCATTTGAATTAACATGTATAAAATTCAATTTTCCTACAAGATAAAGAAAATGACCTCTTAAGAAAATAAATCTTAGCAATTCTTTTTAATTTTGTTTTTATCAAATTAATATTATAGATTTGAAATCATATAAAGAATTTGTTCCATTTGATAATTCATTAATGTCATTGACATCTACTTTTGCAGAAAATAAAGAATAGTCTTGGTAGACTTTAATGAAAGGATAGGAGCTTGAAAAATCTAATGGGTGAGTATGTAATTTCCTCTATGTATGTATACATGGTACTTAATTATGGCAGAAATTCCAATCCTCAATTTATAGCAATGTTACTAATACACCATACTTGAACCAGCTTACATGTACATATATTTTCATAGTAGAAAAAAAGGCGAGAAATATGGAGATTTGAACCTCAATTTAATAGTTTGTAGGCTTAAAATCGTTGTATTCAGCAAACTTGAGTATAGTTAACTGGTTAATACATACATTGAAGAGGTTAGAAACTCGATACAAACTAAAAATCCAAAATACTTATTATTTTTTCAGTTAAATCCATGATATTAAATATTCGTCTACTTTCTTCAATATATATATATACCTTGACATGTCTATCGATATTTTTATGTATTGGGTTCCACGTCGACATGAAAGGTAAATCAACATTTCTATCATATTATAAAAAACCAACAAAATATGAAAAATATCAATATAATATCAGTAATATATACATAATATTAATATTAATTATTTTAAACTTATTTAAAAATAAAAATTATCTATTCCTTAGTTTACATAATTTTTATAATTTTATAATTTTTATAACTTTTACATAAATATTCATCAACAACATATATATAGAGTTCATTCAACATTTAAAACTTTGTTAAATCACAAATTTAATTCAGATCTAAAAGGTAGCAAAAAGGGGCGAAATTGAAATTGAGTTTCCTTTGATGGTACTTAGAAAAGAAATTGTTTACCGGTGGTGGGATCTGTTGGGTAGCGTGCAATTGCATCATCTCTCAGTCAAGTCGTCTGTGTAAGTTGATTCATAGTTGATTTTAAATCTTAATTCTCAATTAAATTTCAAGTTTCAAGTTTCTAGTTTTACTTCATGTTGATTCGATTGAACCAACGCAAGAACAGGGCCATCCACAGAGACAGTTCCGTACCATAGTTGATACACCCAATTGCTTAAACTTCAATCTCGTCTCGTGATTACAAGGGATCCTCTCCTCTGGAGTTTGAACTCCGACCCATTATTGTCGTGGCAAGTTTTGAGTTTCTGAGTTTCATTGTAGCTAAATTAGGGTTCATTTGGCTGTTCTTGAATTGGATCAGATTTTGATCGACCATGCTGTCGAATCAACTGCAAAATGGGATAGACAGAGCAAAGATCATGTGGTCTCGCCTCCCGAACGCCGAGGAAAATGAGGACGACCATGTCAGCTTCTTGAAGAAGACCGATGGGGGTGGCGTCGAGAGCCTTGATTACGAGGTCATCGAGAATTATGCGTACTGGGATGAGCAGGTACTCCCATTTTGTTTTGTTTTTTGGTCTAAGAGTTTTAATTTTAAGGTCGAGCCTGAATTTATGTTGGAAAAATGACCTTTTCCATGATTGTGCTTACTTCAATTTTCCCCTTTCTCACGAAGTGCTTGCATGGTGGTGTTCTGTAGGCGCAAAGAGGGAAGCTATTTGTTGGGTACAGTGTGGCAGTTAAGTGGCTGTATGCTTTGCTCATTGGCATTGGTATGATTATAGCTTCCCGTTACCTTAGGCAAAGCTCTATATTACTTTTTATTACTACAGATGTTTATAAAGTGAAATACACCATGTTTATCTTCTCATCTGAGATATTTCCTATGTGGGACTCCTTCCCACATAGCAATCAGAACAGGCACATTTTCACAATAAAACTCTCTCCTTCATCTGTTGCTTGAATTTTAGTTGGAAATGGTTCTTTCAGCAGCTCTCCTGACAATAAAATTAATAATGAAATAAATGAACTTATTTTGGTTTGTCGTATGATTCATGTGGGTAATATAGAATATGAGTTTATGTTTAGTTGTCGTGAGTTCTTGATATAAGTTATAATGTAATTTTAATTAGTAGTGGATAAACGGAGTGAAATTAAAGTGGGAAAGGAAAGCATTGCTACATCGAACTGAAAGCAGGAGACTTGTAACAATATTTAATTTTTAAGCTGTTTAAGTTCACAGCTATGTAAGGAAGCCTTTAACTGTGTTTGAACTGAAAGCAGCGGACGTTTCATGGTTTTATTTGCATAATTTACTTAAATTGCATAAAGAGTATGGCTGTTTTTTTTTCACGTCAAGTTAATGATTTTTCTTGGCTACTTTCAGGCACAGGATTGGCTGCAGTTTTCATAAATATGGCTGTTGAGAACTTTGCTGGCTGGAAATTTTCGTTGACATTTGCTCTAATTCAAAAGTCATATGTGGCTGGTTTTATAGTATACTTAGCAATCAACTTGGTTCTAGTATTTTCATCTGTGTTTATCGTCACAAACTTTGCTCCTGCAGCAGCTGGATCTGGCATCCCTGAAATCAAGGGTTATTTGAATGGTAAGTCATATTACTGGTAGCTCCTCATTCCCCTCATTCTCTTATCCAAAAAAAATTCATTCCCCTCATTCCACAACAAAATAAAAACACATTTTTTGGCATTTTAAAGTACTTTGTTTTGGTTCATTTCAACAGGAATTGACATTCACGGTGTCCTTTTCTTCAGAACCTTGATTGGAAAGGTACAATTGGTATCCCTGGTGTCCTTACAGTTGGAACTTTCTACAGACATGTTTTTAAAGTTTTCTCATTTTTTTTTTCATAATCATGGTATATGTCAGATTTTTGGAAGCATTGGTTCAGTGGGAGGTGGATTGGCTTTAGGCAAAGAAGGGCCTCTTGTACATACTGGTGCTTGTATTGCTTCTTTGCTAGGACAAGTAAGCCAGCGTTAAATTTCTTTAATTATGTGTATGATTAGTGTAAGTAATGATTTTTTTTTTCTCTCTTTAATTCTGAAATCAGGGTGGATCTGCTAAATATCATCTAAATTCCAGGTGGTTACAAGTGTTCAAGAGTGATCGGGATCGCCGAGATCTTGTAAGTTATTTTAGCATTTTAATTGAACATTCTAGGTGTCCACCTTCCCACATACTTTCTGTATGACTTAATACACCTATTGCCTACTTGTTATTTGACTTAATTTTTTATATTGGACTTTTGAGAACTTATAGCCTTTACTGGGTTTTTTCTATTGTCAATTTGTTTACAATTTTAAACTAAGCTTACATCCTTATAGTATTAGAGGCAAATAACCTAATTGTTCTCCCTCTTTTTTGTTAATATTTTGAAAGGTGACCTGTGGGTGCGCGGCAGGAGTTGCTGCTGCTTTTAGAGCTCCTGTTGGTGGTGTACTATTTGCTTTGGAAGAAGTAACGTCTTGGTAAACACATTTCCTCGTATTATCCTCGAAGGCTCACTTATGTTTTTTTTCCTCTCTTTGTTAAGCTATGAGCAAAATTAACTTTTGAACCTTGAGTTTGGGCTGGAGTCAACGCATTTTCAGACTAAAAACACAAATTTATTAATTTACAGGATTTAAGTTTTTAGTTTTGAAACTATAGGGATCAAGTGAAAACTGAAAACTAACCCAAACTATTATGCCCTTAATTTATCTTCATATGTTATGAGTTGTATTTTTTTTGTTTATGTGCTTGAGTGTATCGAGCCCTTATGGTTCGATGGGTACAATATTATTTATCCGAGAAAGTTGCATATGTGAATTTTCGTTATTTGAAATTGAAGGTGGAAGAGTCAACTTTTGTGGCGTGTGTTCTTTACTTCTGCTGTGGTGGCTGTTGTGGTGCGTGCAGCTATGGGATGGTGTAAGAGTGGGAAGTGTGGACATTTTGGTGCTGGGGGTTTCATAATATGGGACATATCAGAGTAAGGTTTAAAATCTATTCAGGCCTTCCGTGCTCATTTCTCCTTCGATTTTTTTTCTGGCTGACTGGTTATACTTTTAGTGGCCAAGAGGACTACTCTTTTGGGGAGTTGTTGCCTATGACTGTGATTGGGGTTATTGGAGGCTTATTAGGTTGGTAATTTTACAATTTTTAGTTGTACCTTTTTAACTGGCTTAGGTAATTTTCCTTTCCCACGGATTAGGTTTTAGGTTTTATACTAATTCTTTTGTTTATTTTTTTAGGAGCATTATTTAACCAGCTTACTCTTTACATGACTTATTGGCGACGAAATCATTTGCACAAGAAGGGGAACCGAGTCATGGTAGGCTAAAGTTTAACGATGGTAGATGTCTTTTGTTTCTTCATCTTGCATTTCTTTTTCCAATTACTTCTATCCCACACTCAGACCATTTTTGTTTTCTTTTTGTATCTCCCTTGAGAAAATTTAGATCATCGAGGCTTGTCTCATCTCACTACTAACATCAATTATTTCCTTCGGACTACCACTTCTAAGGCAATGTACTCCATGCCCCAAACCTGATCCTGAATTGGGCAATGAATGCCCAAGGCCTCCTGGGATGTATGGGAATTATGTTAATGTAAGAATCAGTATTTGCTTATTTTTGGTTGTACTTTTGCCATCCTTGTAATTGCTGTGCATGTGGATGTGATGCAATACTTGTCCGATACCATCTCAATCAGTTTAAAGAGGGAGCTATATCATCCCTCATTTACGAGGAGCTGTACACACTAGAGTTGTTTGGCATGAAAATTGGGCTGTTTATTATCGTTATTTCTTTTTTCAGTTTTACTGCAGCAAGGACAATGAATACAATGACCTTGCAACCATTTTCTTCAACAC